TTTCATTGCTAGATTGGTTATTGCTACCCGAATTATTTTCATATGTATTAGCATAGAGCCAATCAAAATCGAATTCTAATAATTGCTGATCACTAATTTCTTCATCAAATTGATCAAATTTAGTAGAATATCATAAAAATTTTAAAAAAATGTATTCATTTACCTCCGAATAATCCAGTATTGCCAGGTATACTGACATTGATAAACATTTCACAATCTTGGAACGATTGTGATCTTTGATATGAATAAATATCAGAATATGACTGGGAACGTGCATCATTATATGAGACGTTCCCGAAGTATTCGTGTACGTTAGGCACACTTCTTGCACGTTCAATATGTATACGTACTGTATTGTCCGATTATTTGTATGATTAGCAAGCCAATTGAAGTCATCATTAATTTCGACTTCATCTCCAATTCTTAAATCGAATTGGCTCGTACTGTCAGCATGATCCAATGGATACATCATCGAATGGAACGTGCATTATTATAGGAAACGTTTCCAGAATATTCATGTATTTGAGATTCAACTCTTCACTATGTGCATAATCTGATCTGTAATCCCATTCGGGATTTTATTTTTATAGTTCAAAAATTCAACATATTTTTGATAAATATTGATTTGAATAGATAAGATAAGAATGTAAAGATGTACATGTAAAGAGAAAGTTCTTTTTTTTAGTAAACGTAAACATCTCGATTATGAAGGAAATAAATGAAATTTTATTAAATAAATTAAATTAAATTTTTTTCTATAAAAAAATCATTCAATCAAATATTCAATTATCATCATGCTCATTCGAGTCATCGATGAAATTGACATTATTGCCAGATTGTACGGGTCTTTCTTGTTGTGGTACTACCGGCTGTTGTTGTTGAAGCCGGTCATAAACATCCGAATCGGAGTAATCTAAATTGAATGATATTTAGTTGATTTAATAAAAAAAAATCAATTTCATTTACCTCCGTATTGTATATTTTCGGAAATGTCGACATTAGTAATGCCGAACTTATTCGACCCAGTATTTGATTGGGCATTATTGTAAGAAACTCCACCGGAGTATTCATGCAAGACCAAATTTTGGCCAATTTGATTTGTCCGTGTTCTTGGTATCGGACTTGAACGCCATTCAACGTTCCTATAATGGGTTTGGTTGGTATATAAATCCAACCA